TGGGCCAATGCCTGCCCCATGCCCCCCAGCCCTCGCTGCTCCCAAAGGCAAACCTGTGGCCTCAGACCAGCATGTCACAGAGCTACATGGCCACACACATCCCCCCAGCCCAGCCACCACCTTCGTCCCATTCCCAGCTTTTTCTGCCTCTCTCCTGCTGCAGAAGGAAAGGGGAGAGCAGAGCTTGGCTCCTATGCATCATTCCTGCCCTACACACTTGGAGTGGCATCCCAGAGAGCAGTGGAGGGATGGTGCAAGCACAGCCGCCCCACCAAATGCCCTAAGAACATCCCCTGCTCTCTGGCAATGGAGACTTCAGTGCAACTTTCTTACAGGGGACACCCTCCATCAGTCCCCTGCAGACTCCTGTGTGCCCCTTGGCTTTTCCCAGATGCCTGAACTGGGCCTCTGTGGACACTTGCGGGAATGGGGTTTCTGCAGAGTTGGTCTCCAGAGAGATGGGAGCTGGACTGGGATAGCCCAAATGGATGTGCTGTGGCACTGCTGTACAGACCCCCCTCCCCTCTTGCTCTGTGTTGTTCTTCAGGATTTTGATCAGCATTCCTGGCAAAATGCAAATGCAACAAATCTTGGGACTATCCTCAAGAGGGCACTGGGGACAGGGACACTCGCTGCATCTCTCATTGCTTTCCATCGAGTGCAGGGCCCCTGCTCTCACCAAGCTGGTGGTGTGATTCCCTCTGCACTAGCACAGAGCTGGGTGCTTGCCGTGCAGCGATGGGTGCTGGCCACGGCTCGCCCACCCAGCCTGCGACAGGAGACACAGGGTCCCCCCCAGCCTGCGACAGGAGACACAGGGTCCTGAAGGTGGCCAGGGCCTGGTGGGGAGCATCCTGGCCACACTTGGCTCCTTCACCACATTTCAGGCACTGCGTAAGCAGAGGGTTAACGATTCCCACGTTAAGTGGCTGCAGATGTGTGGGAAAGTCTGGGGCGACCGGACGGCATCGCTATTAGTATTCACCCAGGAGCCTGCCGCTGCCTCCCGGGGCTCTGTGGAGCACATTTAATACCGAGGCTCGTCATGGGGGTTAGAAAGAGGGTGTGGGATGGGGGCGGAAAGGCCCTGAGGTGGGGAAAGGCAGTGGGCTAGCATCCTCTGCCGCTGGCTAGTGCCTCCTCCAAGCACCCAAACTCAGGGCAACAGGGGGCAGGTCAGCATCTGTAGGGACACAGCACCATATGATGTATGGCTCAGTGCTGCCTTCTGACACCATCATTGCCCTGTGGTGCCTGTGGCTGGAATTCACGGTGGTGCAGGATGCTTCCCAGCCCAGGATGCTCCCCAGTGCATTGTGCTCCGCCATATGGTCACTCTTCAGGGAGCTCAGCATTTTCTGCCTCC